TACCCCTATAGATACTTCTTCAATCCTAATCAAATAGAAGATGAAGAAGGGGCATTAAGAAAGATAATTATGGTGTTTTAGGAAAAATGTGTTATTTTTCTTATAATTACTAACTTACCTAATTTTCTTAATCTAATCAAATTAATAAAATAGGTCTTATCTAACTTTGATGATAATATCGAGAAATTGGTATGTCAATTTCACTTGAAATGGGTCCCAAAGGGCAACATAGAAACGTGGTGTTCTTATGTTGGGGAATATGAAGATACCACCAATTATGCTTTATCCTTCCACACTTTAATTTCAAAAATATCCCCTACTTGGTATACGCCAAACTGGCAAAACGTTATCGTGTGTGTTAGTATCTCCATTCACAATATTAGAAAGTTTCAAAAAATATATATTTTTTTCAAATGTCATGAAAAGTTGATTTGCTTTTCCAGTTTTACCCTTATCAACACCTGACATACAATTTCGCATGCATAATTACCAACTGACATTAGCCCATGCAGGTAAAAGCAGAAGGATATTCTTAAAGTCACAAAATGTCTTACAGTTTTGGACCAACAAGAGCTTGTAGAAAATATCCTATTCATGGACAAAGATAACACAGTATCACCTACCGTCCTAATATAATAACTAATTTATTATGTATACTACAAAATAGCTCTTATATTTATAACTGAAAGTAATATTAATATTAAAATCCAATAAGATAGCACAGTACTAAATTCAACATGAATTGATGGATCACACTACTGAAGTAATGAATTAGTTTCTTAATTACTCTGTTTAAGAGTTTTGAATGGATTAATCAAATTGAATTTTATATTTTTTCTTTTTTTTATTAAGCTTAAAATGTCGCCATTTTAGGTTTTAAAAAACATCATTTGTGTTTTCAGTACCTGCCAGAGAAAAAGTGTCTGTCTATATGCATGTGGATATCATTCTCTCTCTCAATATAATGTAACCATTTCCTAAGATGAAATAGGATGGTGGCTTTGAAATTTGAGAGAACAAAGTGGATATACACATTCTCATTTCTGCATGGGACCACTTTCTTACAGGTTATATCTGCTCTGAACCCCATTCCCATGCCTTCATCATTCTCACCTACAAATCAACTCCTCTCTTTATTCCCATCCCTCCTCATCTATAGCTTTTGAAAGCAACTTCATAATTTTATACTACTTCCCTGTTCTTAATATAAGACCTTGTTTGACTTCTATTTTGATGTTAAAACATGAAAGGATAAATGCTAATAGCTGGAATGAAATTGGTGTTAAAACATATTCAAAATGTTATCTTGGGCTTTTAAAACACAAGTTTAATGATGAAAATGACCAAAACCAATCAAAACCGGTTAAAATAAAGGGTTAAGGTACACCAGCACCCCCATGTATTTAGTCAGGTGCACCCAGTGACCTGAAGTAATTTGTGGTGCAAATTTGCCCTCAAAGTAATTAAATTGGTGCACTGGTATCCCATGCTAACAGATCTGTTAGTTTGACCGTTAAATTGATGAGTCAACACAGTTTGACCAGAAAATTTGACGTGGCATGTCTAATAAGCAGGTGATGTGGAATTTTTTTGGGGGTTAAGGTGCATCCAGTACCCCCAAGTATTTTTCCAGGTGCACCCAGTGGCCTAAAATAATTTATGGTCCAATTTTGCCCTCAAAGTAATTAAAATGGTGCACCGGTATCCTATGCTAACATATCTCTTACTTTGACTGTGAAATTGATGAGTCAGCACAAGTTTGACCAAATAATTTGACCTGGCATGTCTAATAAGCAGGTGATGTGGAATTTTTTTCGTCTGCCACTGCTTTGTTTTCTCTGTTCAGTAAATGCTCTCTTCGGCTCTTGGAATTTTTTCAGCGTAAGAATTTTTTTTAGAGATACTCCTCTAGTCCTATTTATAGGGTAGAGAGAAAACATATTTTTTGGTCCTATTTATAAGGCACTGAGAGAAATTTTTTGTATGGATATACAAATTTAACCCTCATTTATTATTGTATTGACTTTGTTTATATGAGGTATAATGTATATTAAATAGGGATAAAGTTGGAAAGTATTAAAATTTAAATGAGAGTTAATGAAATTTAGGGTTTCTTTGGTCTGTGTGAAACATGCTGGAAGTACCTTATAAATAAGACCAGAGGAGTAATATTCAGACAAAACAATGGAATTAACAAGAAAAGCCATGTCACCTGCTTATTAGACATGCTAGGTCAGATTATTTTAGTCAAATTGTGCTGACTTATCAATTTCACAGTCAAAGTAACAGATTGTTAGCATGGGATATCGGTGCACCATTTTAATTACTTTGAGGGCAAAATTGCACCATAAATTACTTTAGGCCACTGGGTGCACCTGGAAAAATACTTGGAGGTGCTGGATGCACCTTAATCCCGAAAAAATTCACATCACCTGCTTATTAGACATGCCACGTCAGATTTTCTGGTCAAATTTGTGCTGACTCATCAATTTAACGGTCAAACTAACAGATATGTTAGCATGGGATACGGTGCACCAATTTAATTACTTTGAGAGCAAATTTGCACCACAAATTACTTCAAGCCACTGGGTGCACCTGGCTAAATACATGGGGGTGCTGGTGCATCTTAACCCTAGAATAAATGAGGTCAAGTTTGTTTTCTTTTCTTTAGTGATTCCGATCTTTTACATGTATAAGATCTGAATCAAATCGAACCAGACCTGTTTGAATTTTTAAAATGTATTTTATGGTATATTTATTTATTTTTTATTTACCTTTAATTCTATTTTATGATATATGATATTTATTTCTCAATTATTTCAGTCGTATTATTGAATATTTTAATCCAAAAATGCATATTGTTGATACTTGATAGTAACTTTATCCATATCATTAGAATATTAAAACAATTAATCAACTCACTAACTCAAGCAGCTTTACTTAATTAACGGTAACTCGCTTTTAAATTTCAAGTTCATGACAATACATTATTAAATTGAATATCAATCTTTTTTCTTGATTTAGCAATAAATTTAAAATATTATGAAAAGGAAAGGAAAAAATCATTTAAACAAGATTCAAATCAAACCAAACCGACCTCATGATAAAATCTATAAAGCTTCTGCTTTGGTTAAACTGATTGGCTTGCCTTTTGGCCCCAAATTGAGCCTATGCTCTGAACAACCTTATGTGAGGAATTTCCCTGTGATTTTTTTTAGTTGTAAGGAAAAAAAAAATTAGTTGAGGGGTCTGTATTTTCACTTGGTACCACTTCATCACAACCAGGAAAAAAGAAAAGAAAGGATATTGTATATAGAGGATGATTTAATTGAAGGCCACAAGACGGAATTAAGTGAATTGGGTTTGAAGGCACCTTAATTGAGAAAAACAAAAGGAAGGGGTGGGTGGGGTGAGAGAGTGAGTATTATAGCAAGAGTTGTTGGGAAATTGAAATGCAGGCAGAAAATTGATAAGGTACACAAAAATAAAGAAGTAAATAATGACCACATATCGTTAGGATTCAGGTGGCTGTCTGTTATCGTTAGTTAAGCTCCTTTGTAGACCACTATCTTGTTTTTGGAGGCCGATGATAAAATTTCTAACATCATGTCAATCTATTATTCCACGTGTTCTCATTGAAGGGAATATAATTTTATATATATAAATACAAAAAAGGCTTTCAGGCTTTCAGGCCCAGCCTGATCAGGGTTACACTTGAGAAAGAATGTAGCTCTAAGTCCACATGGATGGGCCGGCCCATTTTATCAGCTCCAGCCCTTTAGCTGTTCGCAGTTGTTGCATTTAAACCAACAAAAAACTGCACTAAAGGCGAAAATAAATAAACCACAACTTCATTTCAGATGAGGACCTCAGACCTGAAGTCAAGTTTCAAAAGATTTTGGGCCTTCCGTGCCATTATTTGAGCAGGGATAATTTTAGGACCAAAACAAGGTTGCCCGAGTCATGTGTCGGTTAAAAGGCCAGACTAGAACTTAATCAACCACCCAGCATTTTTTACAGCTGACATATCCACACAAGCCAAAAAATTTGCAATCGAGGTATGGATGAAAAATATATTAAAAGGGTTGCGAACTCTAGGAAGTAAAACTCTTAATTTCCACAAGTTAAGCATGCAAATCAACAACTCAGGAATTAATCAAAAACAGAGATCTTATCTTAATGTTCCACACAACAAAAGGCCAAGAAAAATATAAAATACTGCCTATGTTTCTACGCAAAGACATTTCATTTCATGCTCTCCATATTTCGTTATCGCCCCACACTTATTGAGCTTTATGTATTGCTGAACAATATCTAATGCCGGTGATCCTCTCCAAAATCCTGCAGAATCCAGCGGTTTTACGTCAACTAAGAGCCCAAGAACCATAATACAAGTATGAAAAGCAAAAATGAAGAATGTAAACATTATGGCAGCTATTCATAACTTCATTTCTAATCTTTTACACAAGATGCTATGGTAGAAATAGAATGATATTCATTCCCATGAAGAGCTTATACCTTCAAACAACACAGGAGCAGCCAACTACTTTCCTTGCTTTGCCCTCGGAATCAATCTTGCACAGCTGCGTATGATGAAAATAAAAAAAATAATTAAAATCTCTCACGTATCTTGTTAGTTTTTGATGAAGCAAATAGATCCACTATCAAAAAAGAAACTAGACAGAGAGATTGGTACATTAGAAAGGAACAGTAAACAAACTGGATTTCAGGCAGAAACATGGAGAGAATTATTTTGAAACTTAGACTCCTCAATATTTAAATATATATTGTTGCTATGAAAAAAACAACTGAATAGATTGTATACTATATTGATGCATAATGACGATCTCTAAGCTAATTAACTCAGTTATACAGCGATTAATTACCACATAACAACAGAGTTCCGAAATGGAATAATAAAATATTTTAAAAAAAATAAACATGAGAGCCAGGCACATAAATGGAAAGAAAAGAGGTATGCCACCACAGTTTTACTTACACCAGCCCATTCGCCAAGGGTTTTAGAACTGGCAACAGTCATCAATTTCACATTATGATCAACACAAAGTGCCTTGACCAGCTTAACATAATCAGGCTGATCACAGTCCTCCGCAAGGACGCAGAGATGTGCAGCATGCTTTTCGATCACCTTGGCAGCTTCATGAAGCCCTCGTGCAAGACCCCCATGAGCAAGAGACTTCCTCAACACAAGCTGCAAGGCAGTCATGATGTCCATACTCTCACCCAAGGGTGCTGCCTCAGCAGGCACTGCTACATCTTCTTCTCTGTAAATTGTCAGGTTTTTTCTCAGTTATTAACAGGAAAAAAAAAAAAAGGCATCTCAGCAGAATCCATTATTGTCTCATCAAACTTGGAAATAAAGAAACTCTGAAGAGAATATCCCAGCAAAAGATAATATTAATAGTTGTTAAAGGAGAAAGTTAGAAACAATAGGCATACCCTGACATTTTCTCAAGGCTTTGAAGATGAGAAGCTTGCTTGTTGCTGCAAGAAGGAAGACACAACTACAGTTATATTTTAAACTATCACAGGAATAATCGTATACAATTTGAACGTTTCAGAAAGAGAAAAAACGTGACAAAGCACAGTGAATCCAAAGGCAATATCCAGCATGTGAAACCCCGTATTAAATTGAAAAATTAACAAATTTGTGATCTCTGAAAGATGCACAACAATAATTTCAGTAAAGGATCCCATTTACTCCTTTTGCTTTAACTCAATGGCGAATAACAATTAAAAGGCATCCAACCAAGCCAATTGAAGAACCACTTGCTAAGGATCACTGACCTCTAAAGCTCTAAAAGATCACTACTCGATACCAACTAACAAGAGTAAAACCGAAAACTCATTCTAACTCACTCTTCAGAGCACCTCACACCCATCAATTAAGAGAGAAGAAAAATCAACCGGTAATTTCATCCCAACTGTCCTAAGCTTCGGTCCAGTCAACCCACTGAATTTCCACTTCCCAATAATTTGAAGAACAAAATGATAAAAGGAGAAAAGAAAAACAGCTGAAAGTAAGACACAGCATCCATTAACGTCATTACCAGTGAAATTTCCAGTGCCAATGATTCGAAAACCGAAATGGTAAAAGAAGAACAAGAAAACAGCAGAGAGTATGATAGAGTAACCAGTTGCATTATTATCAGTACGCATCAACATCACTTGTGAAGAAGCCGAAACGGAAAACCAGGAGGTCGTAGCAGTTACCTGAAGGAGATGGAGGCCACAGAACTCAAACGGCGCCAGGTCAGAAGGCGCAAGGGAAACGAGGAGAGGTATATAAAAGTACAAAATCGAGCCGGGGTTCTTCATGCAGGCTAGGGTTTTCATGCGGCCCATTAAAAGACAGGCCCAATTCTTTTTGCAGAAACACCCAAAGGCCCAAATTCTCAGTCCAAGAAATGACCCAAATATGTTACCCAAAAAAAAACCCAAGCACAAAATAGAATGAATAGTTGATGCCCTGTCAATATTAAAATATTGCTAAAATATATTTTAATGATAAATAATCACTATAATCAGTCATTAAGAAGATACAAATCTGGGATATTATGCGAAGTTTGTAAATCAATTGTATGCTCTGATTTCATTATAATTCTTTTTATGTTGTTTATATGTATATAATTGATTAATTGATGATTGCTTTCTTTTTCTTTTAAATAACATCTCAATATCAACATATATTATAGGTTATATAATAAAGATTGTTGCGATTTACTATTGATAATTATTTTTTAAATAAATAATAATATTAACTTTAACTGTTATTATTAGCGTAAAATACATTCATCTGTCTTCTAATATGGTTAAAATATTCCTATATGATTCTACAACATGGGGACATGCTTGTCAAGCTTTTTTTTTTGTAAAAAAAAAAATCATTTATTTTCTTAAATAAATCACTTTTTAGAAAATTCCACCATTGATTATTTAAACTTTTAAAAGCAATCAATGCGCGCGCGTGTGTGTAAATAAGGGAGAATGCTCAAAACATTTTGGAATATTGAAAAATTCAAATGAACAAAAATACACAAAAATATCATAGAATTTGAAACTCACTTAATATTGACTAATATGATACTCTCCCCATGTAAGAGATGTTTTTCATATAAAAATTAAGGGAATAAATCAGTTTGAAATAGAATAAGTAATGCTAAGTATGTGTCAATAATTTTATACTAGCAGACTCATGCCCCCTCCCAAATTTAAAACATAGTAGTATATTGAAATAACTTGTGGTGCTCAATGGGTTTTCAACCCTTGATGTGCCTCCATCTAATACCCTTTGGAAACGGCTCGACTTTTTAAATGTTTTTCTTTTTTTCTTTGATGGTTAGATATTACCTAACACAAATGATATTTTAATATTTTATAATATAAAATGGTGCAATTTTTTATTTATAATTTTTCAAAATAAAAAGAGAGAATTTCATTAAAATATCTTTGAATTTTAAAATTCTAAATTAGTCTTATTTTTTACACTTTAATAACAATACATTCTTATAGTCATTTTTAATTTGAAATTCTGAAATTTTAGAAGTATTTTTTAAAGATATCATACTTTATTCCTTTGGACTTGGTCATTTAATTTCCAATAAAAAATTCTCAGGACACAAAACATGGCAGGCATCTCTGATAATGATATCATACTTTATTCCTTGGGATTTTTTTCTAAATAAATACATGACAAAAAATTTGTTCTCGTTTGTATGAAATTCACAGACACTTCTAAATCAACTGATTAGAATAAGGGGAGAAACAGAAAACAATACTCCCCTTTTTTCTCCCATCCCTGCGTATGGTACGAGATTTTTTTTTTTATTTAAAATTTTACTCACATGATAATTTAATAATAAAGTATTATTTATTTATTTTTCTTTGCTCAAAGGCACAGTAAACATCTTTCAAACTATAGATTTAAGTCATTAACTTCTTTATTTTTTTCTACTTTTTCCCCCAATTAGACGTTGGGTACTAATTGGTCGATTGTTAATGGCTTTTACATTTCATTTTTCTTTTCTAACACTACAATATTGCTGAATAGAGAGGTTATTAAAAGTTTGGAAAAAAAAATAAATTGTTATTGAATCAAGCAGAAGTAGATTATATGCAATTTATAATTGTTCAATTTAGTAATTTCTTATGCAACTTAAAATTGTTCAATAACTTTACTAGGATGAAATACACCTTTTCAATAAAAAAAATTTTCCTGTTGAAGTTATAAATTCAAAATATAATTCCAATTTACCATAAAATTATAATTATTATTGAATCAAGTAGAAGTAGATTGTCCTGCTTCCTTCATCAAAGATGCAAAGTTTGTCTTCCTCAATATCCACCCAATTAAGACCATTCAAAAATGACCCATCAAGCTGTAAGAAAGTTTGCAAGCACATCTTCAACAACTCAAAAACTTCAGATATTAAAGCTTCCCCGTTTGGGTAGAGGAAAATCAAATATAAATCTTCGAACAATAAAGCCTTCATGTTAGCGAAACAATGATAAGATTCAATTCTTTCTTTCACGCTATCAAATTGTAATACATATTCTCAACATCTGAAAAGGCTCTATAAATCACAAACCAATGTAAAGACAAAATGAATTAAAAAGAGGAGAGTCAGAAATCTCGTGTGTGGAAGTGCTGCTCATTGCACCAACTTTTACTTGGGGCTGCAACAGTATCAGAATTTCATCATCCTCATAACCCAGATAAAAAATGAAGTGCATCAATCATGACACAAACAAATGCTACTGAACTAGATCCATATGGTTGTGGAGAATCGTAGCCAACGTGTTGCTTCATCATAAGATAACAAGAATGAAATGAATAATGGGTTCAAAACCATCACTAACACATAAGACCAGATGAACCAGAACTTAAATGACACGCAATGAATTACTCCAATGTAAGCTTGCCCATTTTGATGACGGAAAATCAAATCAATACTCTTTACCTTCTCAAATTTTTTAACACATATTCTCAACATCCGAAATGGCTTTACAAATCACAAACCAAGGAAAAGACAAGATGAAATAGAAACAGGAGAGTCAGAAATCTCGTGTGTGGAAGTACTGCTCATTGCACCAAATTTTATTTGGGGCTGCATTAGCATAAGAATTTCATCATCCTCATAGCTCCGATTAAAACGAAGTGCCTAAATGTAGACACTAACAAATGCTACTGAACTAGATACATATGGTTATGGAGAATCATAGCCAACATGTTGCTTCATCATAAGATAACAAGAATGACTAATGGGTTCAAAACAATCCCTAACAATGCCAGATGAAACAGAACGGAACCAACACGCAATGAATTACTAAAACGTCTATGAATCCTTTCATTTGTAAGTAAAATCAACAATACGGACATAACAAATATAAAAACGTGCTTCTAGAAGTTATTCCATTTTCCCGGCTTATCCTTCACCGAAGGATTTTCCTCCTTTTTCAAGGATAAAAAAATTGGCAATCAATGTAACTAATGAGTAATGATGGTTTCTAAATGCCAGAAACGATCCAATGATCACCAAGTTCCAATGAGGCACCCCAGGCACAGTTCATTTCCTGGAAAAGAAAGGAAAAATTTATTCCAAAAATAAGAATATAAAAAAAGAGAAAATTAGCCAAGTATAGAGGTTGAAGAGGAAGGCTCAGATTCGCCTTTTCTCAGACAAGGAAAAAGAGCTAACACGCATGGCTGCGAAACCATAGAATGTCGAAAAGACCAGAACGGTCATTTCATACAAACGCAGGGTCGCCTCGCCCAGATGCGGGACCTTCTTCCGATGTCTGGTAAAACTGCTACAAACATCACAGCCACCATAGACCCACCGGGTTTTACATTTGACATTTGAAGAAGAAGAGGAAGAAGAAGAGGATGATGATGATGATGATTATGGAAAAGAAGGGAAAAGAGAGAGAGAGAGAGAGAGAGAGAGAGAGAGAGAGAGAGCCGTTTGAGAAAGGAGATAAAAAATCACCGGATTGCGCAGCGAATCAGGGAGGGGCAACAGCTCTCAGAACACCCTCTTCTCCCTGAGACTGCGATCCTCATTCTTAAACTAATGAGATTTTTGAACCCTAATGTTTCCCTTCTGGCTTGCTTTATAGCGAGCCCTGGGAGCAAGGAGAGGGCATGCACGGCATTTCTGGACAGGCGGCTATTACGATGTCGTTTTGTTTTATTTTATATTTTTCCCGTGGCACTTTTTTTGAAAAATTTATTGTTAAAATTCTTTTAAATGGGGTTGTAATGCATACACCAAAGTAGTATACCTTTAAAGGATTAAACTGGAACAGAAAACTAGGAATATTACCAAGTTAAAATTCTTTTAAATGGGATTGGAAAAAAAAGAAAAGAAAATCTTTTTAAATGGGAATGTAATGCATACACCAAAGTAGTATACCTTTAAAGGATTAAATTGGAACAGAAAACTAGGAATATTACTAAAATTTATAAATTTGAATAAAATCGAATAAAGAGAGCATAAAATTTTAAAAAATATTTTTAAGAAATATTAAATGATATCAAATGAAAAGATAAATATTATTACGCATAATCAAATATATAATACAGGGCTCACAATCTAGTCTGATTTAGTCTAGACCCTTATAAATGAAGTTTATAAGTTATGGATTTCAAGGAAAATCAAGCCACTGATTTTAGAGCTTACTTAACTCTACATCCTCAACAGTTTCCAATCTATACAATTAAAATTTTCCTAGCCTTTTATTAAAAAAAAAAAATTCCTAGCCACATTTTTATAAGATGAATTGTACAATTCACTTTTTTGGGATTTTGTACAGTACATGAGGGAACACGCACACTTAAGATAAAATCTCTCAAAGAATAAATACATAAATTGAAAATTCAAACACTAAAGCTCTGGTCAGATTCTGCGCAATAAATACATAAAATCTGTGTGGGCGCGTCAATTGCAATACTCATTATTTGCGTTTTTCAGGCCCAAAAAACGATTGCCTCACGCTGTAAAACCCGAGTTGACATAAGTTCCCATGCGATGGGCGAATTTGAAAAGAGTCATGCTATCTCCGATACTAATTATAAAAACTAGTTAACTAATTTGAAGAGATTAAAAAAATAAATTAGATTAGTTATTTGTAATAAATAGGTATTATCTTTCTTAAAATATCCTTGCTAATTAAGTTTATCGATTAGAACTAACTACTCTTATTAGAAAGACTACATTGAAAAAAAAAAATATAAATAAAAAACAAAATAACTTAAGATCTTATA